CAAATATGAGCCAGAGCGTGCGGTCTCGGACGGGCTCCCTAACAGGTTTCTTCTTCCATCTTTTCCTCACCCCTGTCCATCTGGTATCCATGACACCATTCCATCTCGCCGCAATCCTCCGCAGCACCCCTTCCAGCGAGCCATGCGGACAGTATTCGAGGAATACCATCATTTCCCTGGATTTGCGGTTGAGTACTTTGATGTCGTAGCTCTGGAGGATATGTTTTGCACCCCTAAACACCTATCGACGTCTCGTGTCAGCATCGCATCAACACAAGTTCGGTACCTCCACCCACCTTCATCCGCTCCACCTCGTCATGCGGCGTCTTGTCCCCGTCAGGCATCTTAAACTTGGCCACATATTCCTTGCCGAGGTTTCCCTTGCGATCATACCACCGAAAAAGCGCAGCGGCGCCCTCGCCGCCCCAGCCCAGCAGCTTGACAAACTTGAAGCTCCTGGGGAGCAGCTTGGCAGCCTTGCGCGCCTGCGCCTTAGCGTCGTCCCGGTCGTCGTCGAGCTCCTCCATGGCTTCGTAGGTGCCGGACCCGTCGGGCTCTCGGCCGTCGAGGCTGAAGTCGTCCTCGTCGAGGCCCGGCCAGGCGTTGACGCCCCCTTGTTCGGCGGGAACTTGCGTGGCGAGGATTTCTGCGACCCTTTGGGCCCGGGACTTTTCTTGGTGTTCGTCCCATCTGCCCTGGCGGTAGTAGTTGGATTGGAGGAGGGCCTGCTTTTGGGCGGCGCGTAGGGAGAGGGAGGTCATTGCGGGGTGGTGGCGGTTGTTGTGTTCCAGTTCGAGTCGGCAGTGTTGAGCTGGGGGAATTCAACTGGGCCTTGCATTTGTTGCTTGTAATTGTTTGATCGGCCAACAACATTGTAACCTGAAATAGAAATAGAAAACTCGGTATCTTCGGTATCTTCTTTCATTGACCATGACATGAGTATCAAAGGGGTTCAGGTGGTGAAATGACCGCATGCGGCATACCGTAGGTAAGGTGAGACAAAGAGTTGTCCCCCGCGATGCCCGGACAATGAACCCTGCCCGCCACAAAACACATGCTAAAAGACCCTGAGCATAACATCACCGCGCAACCAGTCGTTTTATCAGTTGAGGTGTACACTTTGCATCGGCAATTACCTGTCACGGCGCAACCCCCCCCCCCTCTCACCAAAAAACCAGACCTATTGACTAAAGCATGGCGAACATGTTACCTCCAGGCACGCCAAATCCCTTGGCTACGATAGATAATTACAGAAAGCAGTCTGCGACATACTTCCAATACCTGCGCCAAGGGAGGATAGGCGAATGGAGAGAACTAAATAACCAACAGAGGGCAAGGATATGGCGAAAGCATCAAGCTCACCTCGGCGGCATACAAGCTTACACACTCGACCCTCAGCGACACTACCATTACGGGATCCCGGGTAGCAGGGGGCCTGATTCCGGCGGACGTTATGGGGTGTACTTGGACAGCTTTACGGATACCTTGACCGGAAAAATGGGCGCCGCGAAAGGGGGAGCGTTGGACGTGGCAAGAGTTCTGCGAGGTCACTTGGGTCTCAGGTACCGCCGAATGCAGGGGTGGGGAGGGAATGGAGTGGCTGTCGTTTTTGAATACACACCCCCAGGGCCGCTGCGGAGGACCAAGTTCTGCATCGCGAAGATGTCGTATGGGGCTGCGAACAACCCCCGAATACAGGCCGCACTACAGAAAGAGAAACGCATGATGAATGTAGGTGCGCTGCGGAGCGGCCATTTTACTCGTGTACTAATCAGTCTTGTCGATGCATGCAGACATTTGACGGTTCCGAACACATGGTTCCGGAGCTGGACATTCTGGCCAACACACCACAGCCCCAACAGGCGAGGCACTTGACCCTCATAACGCCCTACTACGACCGAGGAAACCTGGGCAGCGTCATCAAGAGGGCTGACGGTTATGCGATAACGAGCCGAACGCTGTGGCTGATATTCGACTGCCGTAGGTGCTATGCTGTTCCTGCCCAAGCAAAAATACTAACAATGCGTGTCATTCGCCGTCGTAGTCTTCCAAATGGTGGTTGCTCTTCGATATCCCCCGCAGCACTGGTCCGACCACGTCGCTGGCAACCCCAGGCGTGAACGAACGGTAGCCGCCACCACTCCTCGCACCGCCGCCCAAGCGGCCGGTATTAGTGCCACTGCGGCCTGGTGGAAGGGTTGTGCTGAAGATTGGGTCCATTTCGACATTGATCCGTCCAACAGTAAGATGCTAAGCAATCCGGAGAATGGAAAGGCTCTAACGCTCTGTCAGTCTTTGTGGGCGACTATGACGCCGCAGGGCCCCACAGCTTGGTGCCGGCCTTGAAGGTTATTGACACCCTCTGTTGGATAGGTGAGGTATCCGCTAGGACACAGGATGCTAACATGGCTGCTGTGGAGTAGCTGGGCGATTTCGGCAACACCCAAGACGTAAATGCAGTGAATGACATGGCACCACATTTACTGAGAAGAACGCAAGTTTTTCCCCCCAGCTCCTTTTCGCCTTTTCATCACGTACTGACCATGTGTTGCCAATAGGAGACTGCTGTGGGAGAGCAGACTGATGGGAAAGGATGAATGGCTTACGCCGGTTAGCTGGCTCGCTCCTTTTCCCCAGCGCCCCCCCCCCATCGGTGCTGTGCTGATGAAAGAAAAACAGGAGCAATTCACGAGCGAGTGGGACTACGTCAGAATCAGCCCTAAAAACGCGACTGAGCCGGCAAACATTGCTGCCAACTACAGCTGGAAGACCAACCTGTACGGCATAGCCATGGTCATGTGGTGTTTGATAACCCGAAGGTCCCCCCCGGACGGGCCGTGCCCCGAGGAAATGGATATCGGGGGCGTGCCGACTTGGACGTTTGGAAATTATCTCAACGACGACTACTGGGGCAATACTGACGCTAACCTCCGGGAGCTGGTGGCAAAATGCTTGTGCGAGAATCCTGCCGACCGGCCAGACATGTTGAGAATCCGATTTGAAATCAACAGGGCGCTCAGAGGACCTGCGAATGGGCAGTGGCCAGGGGGCGAGGACGACAATACCACCCGCAATGGCCTAGAGGCACAGCGGTTGTGGCGGGCATACGATATCCCCGGCCCACGAGATGGGCGGCGGATGCAAAAGGTAAGGGGCCACATCGGTCAACCCGGCTCAGAACTTGAACTTTTTGAATCCGGTCTTGTACTAATCAGGACGTGATCTTTCGTAGTGGCTTGCCGGGAAGCTCAATTCATTCATCGGTAGTAATCTCAAGCCACGATAGCGCGGGCAGCGGGGGCTTGGTACCGGAGGAAGGCATAGCGAGATGGAGTTTTATTTAGTTGTAGATCCCCAATTGTATCAGCTCTTTTCCGACGCCTCCCCCTCCCCACCGAGGCGTGCCCCCACTAATTTAAAAGCTCAGGAGACGCGTGAGTCCAAGGAACCCTCCCAACCTTCCCCCCCGTCTCAGGCACAAAGTCAAGCACAACCCCATCCCTCGCCACCCACGGCAGCACCACATCGGCAACGAGCCGCTCATCCCCCGCGGCCCCAAACAAGCCCAGAAACCACAACCCCCAATTCAGCCACCCCGCCCACCCCAACATGCTCCCACTGACCCAGACACACCACCCCACCCTCCCCTCCCTCTCCCTCTGCCACCCCTCCAGCACGGCCCGCACCCCCTCCGCCCCGGGCTCGGGCCCCTCCCGCTGCACAAGCGCCCTCAGCCCGTTGACCAGCACCACGGCCGACTCAACGGCGCTGTTCGCCCCCAGCGCCAGGTTCGACGCCATCTTGTGCGCCGCGTCCCCGACCAGCGCGGCCCGCCCCGCCGACCACGTCCGCAGCACGCCCTCCTCCAAATCCACCAGCTTCGCGCGGATCCGCGAGTCCCACAGGTCGCGGAAGAGCAGGCCCGAGTGCGAGGCGGCGTGGGCTGCGTAGCGGGCGGCGAGGGCGTGCATCTCGGCGTCGGGGTAGGATGATGTGGACGGGGGTCGGGGGGTGGGGTGGCGGAGGTAGAGGAACCAGACGGCGAGGGTCGGGGTGGTTAGGATCTGGATCGACAGCGGGCCCGAGGCGAGTTCGGTCATTTCGCCCGGCGGGAGGAGGGCGGGGAGCGGGGAGGTGCCGAAGAGGCATTGGTAGGTGGCGGTGAAGGGCGTGCGGAGGGCGGGGAGGAGGAGGCGGCGGATGGTGCTGTGGACGCCGTCGGCGCCGAGGACGATGCTGCCTGTGTAGGAGGTGCCGTCGGCGCAGGAGACGGTGATGGCCGAGGGGGTTTGCGAGAGGGAGGTGACGTGTTTGTTGGTGTGGATGCGGGTCGAGGCGTTGGGGAGGTGGGCGTGGAGGAGTTGGATGAGGCGGGCGCGTTCGAAGAGCATGAATGGGTGGCCGTGGCTGTTTTTGTTGTTAGTGATTATCTCCTTCAAGTGTGATGGCCAGGGATACTCACTTTTCCTCAATCTGGCTAAAGAGGTTCGTCTCCAGGATGACCTCGCCCTTTGCGCCGAGCCGAAGGCTCTTCTCCATTCGAGGGGCCATCTTTTGCGCCGCCTCGAGCAGCCCGTTGCCCAGCTGATCAAGGACCCGGACACTGTGTGGCCAGAGACCTAGACCGGCGCCCGATGCCTCGACCACGTCACTGCGACGTTCGAGCACGACAAAGTCGTCGATGCCGGCACGAAGCAATGCATGGGCGAGAACAAGACCGGCCGGGCCGGCGCCGACAATAATAACACGCATTTTTGACTTCCACTTGAGGTGAAGTTGGAGTTGACGGCGACATTCCCTGTGACTTGGGACTGCTTCCCTTTATGGAACTTGGCATGGCGGCAGTGCAGCGCCACACTCTATTCGCTGGCTGCAACATGTCGGATGTGTCAAAGAATAATCCTAAGGCTGAGAGAGCGGCCCGATAGGCAGTTCCAAACTACATCGCCGACTCCATCTACCAAACCGGCTGGCGATACTCTCACCACATCGCAGACATCGGTTGCGTGGCCCAGTGGTTAAGGCATCTGCTTTACAAGCGCTTGAGATCCAAGCAACTGCATCGCAGAGGATCGCAGGTTCGATCCCTGCCGCGATCAATTTTTTTTCAGACTCCGTCGGGCGTGTGGGTCTATGAGGGCGATCCGTTCTTTTTGTTACATCCTCGCCAGTGTGGGACATTGGGTGCATGTGGATCCGCTACAAGCTGTACGGAGCAGCTTTTGAGCTCGAGTCGAGTCGAGTCGAGTTACTCTGAGCAACCCGAGAAAGACACTGCAACAGGTACATATCCGAGTGTCAAGACCTCAAGAACCCGCAGGCAGCTTGGCCCCATCTCACACTCCCCTTGTACACCCACATGCCTGGTGCATTTCCTGCCTTGAGCCCCTCGATCGCATCGGCGAGCTGCGGCCCGAGTCCTTCCGCCTTGATGTCGCCCAGGGGGTAGAGATATGTCTTGAAGCTAAACAAGATGGCTCTTGTCTGCGGGAGCCGCGTCAGCGTCTGCAACTCGACCCGAAGCCTCGCACTCTCCACGTCAATCTCTTGGTCTTCCTGCGCTTCTTCCCCCACGTAAACATGGTTTCCGCTGGGCGCAAACAGATCTGCGTGTGTTTGTATCCCCCACTGAAACCACACACGTCAGTAAGCGGATTCTTTGTTGTGAGTGATAGGGCCCTCACTCACATTGACCCGCTTGACACTCCTGCCCGCCTCGAGCCGACCAAAGAACTTCTCCATGCTCGGCCCAATCTTGCCATATGCCGGCACCGGACCATGGACGTCCCGCAAAACCCTGCCCAGCTTCTCGGACGGGTCAAAGCCCGAGGGATGGCAGCAGACAAAAGCCACGGCTTCGTGTTCCCCGGGCTCGCCGTGTCGTCCCTGCTCTGGACGCTGCAGCAGCAAAAACATGTCGTCCTCGACCGTCTCGGCGATTGTCGAAAGGGCCACAAGCGGGTCATCCGGGGCCGGGGCGAGGGGTGCTTGGAGGCCTGTCACTCGGTTGACGAAGTCTGTCTTGGGGGGGCCACCGGGGTTGGGCTCGAGCTGGAACATGGTCGGGAACCGGGCCGGGAGGTAGTCGCCGAGGAGATACGAGTAGAGCTCGCTTACTGCGGCGCGGCCTTTGGGGATGCACCCCATGACGGTGGAAGCGTGTTCTGCGATTGTGCTGCGGCGCGCCATGACTCTGCCGTGGTAGTTGCGGTCCATGGTGATGAGCTCCGAGGGTGTGTCGGCCTGGAGGGCTATTGCAGTGTTAGATGGGATGGATGCATGTAAATGGCACTCTCAGACTCGGACCCATGGTGATGTGGTATTTCGGCTTGAAAGGTCGGAGCTGCTTCGGCTCGGTCGCGTTCCAGTCGAAACCCTCCAGCGGCTCAATCTTTGGAGAGAAAATGGTTTCTTGTTGCCTCTCGCTGAAGGACCGCTTGGTGTCATGGGAGGGTGACGACAATCTGCGTTGGGGTTGACGCCGGTGCCCGAAATTGTAGCCCGCGATTGTTGCTGCAACAGACAAAACAACAAGAATGGCAAAGAGAAACGACATGTTAACGATACTGTCTGGTGTAAGACACAGTTGACCAAGGTTCCACGCCAATTGGAAACCAATCGACAAATCGATGATAAGTTCGTCCAAAGGGAAAAAGCTCGGAGGGAGGGGAAGTAACAGGCACGCATACGTCTGGTGACCAACCAATGCGAGATCGGCTGAGCTGCAGCCCAAAGTGCCAGTGGCAAATAATTGCCGTTACTGCATCCCGGTTCCGGAACCCTTGGAATTGGTCTTTCACCAAAGCCTATCATCCTGGTGTTGTGAGAAGCTGATATTGCAAAGAATAGGAAGGTGTACCGTGTACACAATTGTCTGGTTTTAAAACATGCCATAGCTACACTCCTTGGCCATCGATATAAAACACCATATTCCGTAGTCGTCAGAACCCGGAGTTTTTCGTAACAAAGCCGTCGCAGAGTAGAAGCGTACTGAGATCCGCCCAACAACAAAACAGAGCCACCAATTCCCAACCAGCCACCTCCCAACCCACCCACTACTCCTCTCCCCCCTCCTTCCGATCAAAATGATACAACGGCCTCAGCTCGACCCCCCTCCGCCACAAAACCCACCTCTGAACCCACCACGGCAACGCCGTCGTAAGCTGGTACCGCGCAAACCTGCCCATCGGCACGGCGAACACCCAATCCAGCTCCTCGAGCGTGCGCTGCTTCGTCTCGGGCACCAAGAAGAAAATCATGACAAACGCAATCGCATTGAACCCGGCGTAGCACCCAAATGCGCCCACGGTGCCCGTCGAGTCCAGCAGAAAGGGGAACGTCATGCCCAGCACCGCGGCCCAGAACAGACACGTGGCGACCGAGAAGCCCATGCCGAGCTCGCGGTGCGACAGCGGGTACACCTCGGCGCTGTAGGCAAAGGGCACCGGGCCCTCGCCGGGCGAGTAAAAGGCCGCGAACAGGTAGACGAAGAGGGCGACCAGGGCCGTGCGTGTCGTCCCCTGCTCCAGCAGGGTGCACAGCCCCGCGGCGAGCAGGGTCCATGTCATTTGCGGGAAGGTGAAGAGGAGGAGGGAGCGGCGGCCGAAGGTGTCGATTGTCCTGAGAGGGTTAGGGATGGGGTGAAGGGGGAAAGGGGAGGGGAGGGGGGGGGGGGGGCGTACCAGAAGGCCGGAAAGGCAAAGAGCCAGTTCACGAGGCCGAAGCCAAAGGAGGCGAGCAGGGCTTGGAAGTCGGAGGAGCCCGAGTCTTTGAAGACGGTGGTGCTGTAGAATGCGATGATGTTGATGCCTTGGCGGTGTTAATCAGTCAGGGCTAGGAATCTCAAGAGAAAGCAAGGAGAGCACTGCACTCACCACACATCTGCTGCGCAATCATGACGGTGAATGCGGCAACGGTAGCCCTCCTGACACGGGGAATGGTAAAAAGCTCGACGAATCTCTTGGCAAAGGTGCTGTCCCGAAGCAGCTCATGCTCCAGTTCCAGCTGCGAGTGGATGTAGAAGATATCACGGGCCACTTGCAGCGGGTGGTTCCTCAACTTGACCATCGAGTTCCAGGCTTTCAGGTAGCGGTTCTTCTTCATATACCAACGAGGTGACTCGGGGCAGAAATAGATGAGGACCAGCAAGGGAACAGCGGGAATAAAAGGGGCACCTGTCGGTGTCCAGTCAACCATCACGAGCAAGTCCTGTTGTTGGGGGAAACACACACACCTAACATCAGCCGCCAGTTGTTAGGTCCGGCGTTCCAGACGGCCAGGTTAAAAGCGGTTCCTAGAAAAATACCAAAGGCCGTCCACATCTCTGGTCTGCCAATCAGCATGGGATCATGGACTCGAGCTGCAGAGCCGCACTTACGCCATGACATTACAAGTGCGCCTCGGATGGCCGCGGGGGAGTTTTCTGCTGCATAGACCGGAACTAGACAACCGTTAGAAACGGATGGTAGATTGTCCGTCGACAGCGGAACACACCTGTCGATGCCTTGGCACCCATCCCTATGCCCATCAAAAGGCGAGTTGCCAGTTGCTGCTCCCAGGTATGGCTGAAAGCCGACCCGATGACAGGCCATATGCAAAAGTGCGCAGACACAAAAATAACTCCTAGAACGGGTAAGCATCACGCCATTGTCAGGGAATGGGGGGTTGCCACGCACCACGACGGCCAATCCAGTTGTTGAGTGGATCCGACAACCAGCATCCGATGAAGCTGCCGAAGTGGTCAGAATAGCAAGAGGCAAGCCTGTCACTTTACTCACGCGCTACCGATATATGGCCCGGCATTAACCAGTCCGAGCAAGAGCTTGTCGCGTACGCTACTCCCGTCAATTCCATAGATGGCAGGAAAGAATATGTTGGCTCCATTGGTGCCCGTTTGATCCCAGCCCTGGACGGCCGCGCCGATGGAGCACGTGGCGATGGTCAGGAACAGCCGCGCGGGAAGGCGCCACTTGTGCTCGACTTCTTTGGTGAGAACCGCCTTCTCCTCTTCGCTAAGTGCTTCGGGTCCGCCGATGTCATGAGCTCCGTCTGGGTTCTGGGCGACCAGAGCGCCCTTCCTCAGGAGCGCCACGTGCTCGTTGAGCCCCTTTTCCTCTGCAAAGAGCTCGACGCGGCGCATGAGGTCATGGTAGGGGATTTCTTTAAGGGGGTTTCGGATTCTGGGTGTGATGCAATAGTTAATGTGCTGGGTTCTTGGTTCTTGTTGGGAGGCGGTGGTTTACTTGGCTTCGATGTTGGCGTTGATGTTGGTGTGCCCCGTGTCGGCCTTTTCAATATTCTGCTCCCGGACCTTTTGGCCGTCCCTAGTCGCATTGGTTAGCTACTACGGTGCAAATACCGACCGAGGTGGGGATTCGGCGTCGTACGTGGAGATGCTTGTGGCACGGGCGCCCTCGGTACCCGGGCTCTCTGACATGGTCAAAGTTTTTGTACGAATCCAGCACCTGGTGAGTCGAAGTCAGGGCGCAGGAGGCCGGCTTTTTAGCACTGATAGCAGCTTCCACCGAGAGTAGAGGTAGAAAGCAGGGACGCGGCGAGAGTCGGTGAAACACGGGGAAGCTGGGCGACTTTAAGTTCCATGTCTGATCATGTTGACGTACCCCCCGCATCTCGGAAGTCATTTGTGCTCCCCTCCAGCCCGCAGCGCGTTGTGTCGGCCGTGGTGATCGGTGGCTGAACTGGGGAAACGATCGACGGCCACATGCAGATGGGAAGATCAATGGCACGGCAGGAGAGAGGGGCCACGGACGTCGGTCTTGTGCAACCCTCGTTTCCCTCGGATTCGTCCCTGCGGTTTTTGAGTTGGACATTTTCCAAGTTTTCCGAGCCTCTCTCGTCTTGTGCGGACAAATTGAAGCCAGCACAATGGTCAGATGCGGGACACAAGTCACAACCTACCTTCCTATCTTTATAAAAGATCGACGGTTATCCTAGTGTCTTTGTCAGGTATATTACACTGCCGTGTGTGGTCAGATATTTTGGGAACCTAGGTGTCTCAACGGCCCCCTTTGGCCTGCACTTGCGGATAAACTTTGAATACATTGAGCACGGCAATTGTTGATTTCCTACGCATCTAGCG